TATTCTGCTTCTGCTCCAGTCCTGCCCGCCACCCAACACCTGCCTCAGCACCCGGAGGCTCCCATATTTAACAGCGGGCCCAGCTCAGGCCTCTGAAGGAAACCCACATGGCGCCCTGAGCCTGCACACCAGAGGCCTGAACTCCTAATTGCCAGGCCCAGGCCGCCCTGGTCAGCCCGTCTTCAGAGCTCCCGCCATCAACCTGCGCTTTGCGTACACCATGACCTCGCTGGAGATAAACATCACCACGTCGTTTTACAGACGGGAAACTGAGGCTCGGAGAGAGTCCTGCGCAAGGTCAGACAGCCTATCTGCAACAGCCGGGTGGCTCCCGGCTTCGACCCTGTGAATGTATGAACTCCATGCTACTGTCTCGGAGCCAGTCCTGCCTCAGAAGTCCAGGTGCTGGGACACATACCCCAGCACCCCTCCCCCTCAGCCCTGGGTACCACGGGCCCACTGGACGTGTCCCTGGGCCCAGGCCCCACTGGTCTGAGCGGACAGCCTACTATATGCCCTGGGGGGCTCTCGGGCTTTCTCTCCCCTCTCCCTGATACGCTCAGGCTGTCACAACATGAAACGTGGCCAGCTCCCCTGTCACTCCCGCCACCTCCTGGGAGTATCTGTGACTGTGATGATTAGGGGTTGTTGGACCTTCTGACCTGGGAAGAGTTTCTTTCTTTTTTTTTTTTAATATATATTTTATTGTTGTTGTTTTTTTTTTAACAGAGAGGAAGGGAGAGGGATAGAGAGTTAGAAACATCGATGAGAGAGAAACAGCGATCAGTTGCCTCCTGCACAACCCCGACTGGGGACATGCCTGCAACCAAGGTACATGCCCTTGACCGGAATCGAACCTGGGACCCTTCAGTCCGCAGGCTGACGCTCTATCCACTGAGCCAAACTGGTTAGGGCAAAGGAAGAGTTTCTTGGGGTAATCTTAGTGGGAGCTGAGAAGAAGCCCTGTTTTGGTGTGGGGTCGCCCCCCTCTGTCCTGAGCTGACAGTAAGACAGGGGAGGCCCTGGGAGCGAGAGCTGAAAGATATCCTGGCTCCTGAGGCGAGAACCGAGAACTCGTGGAAGCTTAGCTGCAAGGGCAGGTGGCTCCACCCACGGGGAGGGTCTGCCTGGGTTTCATTAGTGAGAACTCCCGCCTCCTGAATTCTGGCTTTCTGTCCTCAGCTCTCCTCCTACAGCAGTGGTTCTCAACCTTGGCTGCACATTAGCATCACCTGGGAATCTTTTTAAAATCCTGATTTCTGGGCCTCATCCTCCGGAAATTCTGTTTCTTTGTTACTAATGTTGTGGCCTCACCTCATAACAAAGAAACAGAATTTCCGGAGGATGAGGCCCAGAAATCAGGATTTTAAAAAGATTCCCAGGTGATTCTAATGTGCAGCCAAGGTTGAGAACCACTGCTCCTACAGCCTCACAGCAGCCCAGGTCCAGGGAAAATTCTTTCTTAGGAAGGAGTGGACGTGTCAAACCTGAGCCTCCTGGGTGGGAGGGAGAAACCTGAGGTGCAGGCCCTGGCTCTGCCCAACCTTTCAATGGGCCTTCATTTCCTTAACCCGAGGCTCCTTCCCCGGCCCCCACTCCTCAGCCCCACCTGGGCCTCAACTATCCACCCTGCCCTCAGCAGGGGCTTTGAGGACAAAGATTTTTTTAGAAATTCTCTCCCAGCAGGTGGCTGGATCCCATCAGCTTGGCCCTGCTCTCCTGGACAGTGGAGCCGGTCTATAACCAGGCGAGAAGTTTTCGGATAACGAAAGCAGTGTCCCAGACGAGTACTGGACCTGGGAACAAAGGACTGGATCTGGGAAAGAGCGCGGGCAGGGTGGGGCAGCCGACGGAAACAGCTGGACACGACAGCGATGAGGTGCCCACACAGGTATTGTGTCAGGTAATCCTCCAACCCTCAGTGCCCGACCCTATTTGCTTTACACAGGAAGGGACTTCCCAGAGTCACACTGCTTGTCAGTGGAAGAGCAGAATTTGCCCCGAGTGGAGTGGAGCAGAGCACCAAGAGGCACGATGCTCTTGCCCCTCCCCCACACCTCTCCCCCATCTGGCTGTTCCCGTTACAGCCTTTACAACAAACCAGTGACCTAGGGAGTAAAAGGTCTTCCTGAGCTCTGTGAAACGCTCTAGTAAATAAACTGAACCCCCCGGCGGGGGTGGGGGCGAGTGGGAACCTCCGATTTACAGCACGGTGGTCAGAAGCATAGGTGACTGACAGCCTGGGTCCCTGCTGGCATCTGAAGTAGGCGGGTGGGGGCGGGGCAGTCTGAGAGACTGAGCCCTTCACCTTGGGGAACCCACACTCTGGTATCAGAAGGGAGGCACAGAGGGCAGAGGGGACACGGGAGGCAGGAGGCGTCCTTAGCACCATGACACCCAGGTTCTGAGGTGCGTGCTTCCGCCTCACCATGTTGCTTCTTTGGATGTGGATGGGAAGGAACGGTGTCCTCATCCCAGCCCCTCATGCCAGGCACTGTATGCCAAGTGCTCTATAAACATTGCAAGTTTAATCTTCACAACCCCCTGAGGAAGTAGGTTAATTATCCCTGGCCACAGGTGGCAGGGCAGAGGCTGAATATAAGCTCTCGCTGCCCCTAAACAAATGCTTTCTTCACTACTACACACTGCCCCCCACCGGGAGGGAAGGGCCAGTGAGCGGGCAGCCAGGCCTCCCTGGCAGCTGGTGGGGGAGAGGCTGCCTGTGCTGAACTGCCAAGAGCTGGAAGGCTGGATCGGTGTGGCACAGCCTCACCTGGAGTCCCATCCCGCAGAGACAGGAACCGACCACGGAGACACAGCGTGGAGGGGAAGAAATGGCGTGGAGTGCATGCACGATGAAGTTCAAAAGCCGGCAAAACTGCTGTTGTTAAAGATTCCTGGCGCCGCGTGTGAAACCTCAGCTGCCCATCTCAGACCTGTGCAAGCACTGTCCACAGGCTGTGCCTCAGGTAAAGGACCCGCATAGCTCTCAGTGGGCGCGGGCCCCCTCCACGGCCGCTCACCGCATGCAGAAGCAGACCTGCCACGGCCAACGGACCCAGACGGGCACCCGCTACTCAGGATGCAAGTGTGAGACCAGGCCACCCACACTGTGACCCCCGCCCCGCAACAAAGACACCCCTCACCCCGGCAGAGGAGGGCTGGGTTCTGAATCTGAGCTCCTGCCTGACACCAGTAAGTTATTCCTCATAAGAGGTCACAGGTTTCTTATGTGAAAACGATAACAGGTGGATTAACTGATTTCCTTGTGATTCTAGGGTGGACTTAATAAAGTAACTAGATTTTTATTTAATGTAAGCAGCTGCTTTGAAAGAGTTCGTTGTCTGACTCAACTGAAACCTTTTTCTTGTGTTTTGACCCCCAAGGTGTCCAGATGTACAGTTAAAAAGGGCTGAACTCACATCCTGGGGCAGGTGAGGCAGTTCAGGTCAGAACCTTAAACTCAGCTCCTTTCACCACGAGGCCCAAGGCTCTTGGGTGGCAGCGTTTAACGAGCACTTGTTCATTTGGCGCCTACAAGGTCTCAGGCCCTGCTCTGATCACTCCACACGTCATGGGTGAGCAGCTGTCCCACCACACGCCCCAAGTTCGCAGCAGAAAATCCACACACTGGAGCCACTTCAAGGCGGGAAAGCCTCTGTAAGTACCTCTTCTGTGTACGACTTATGGGAAGCATACTCAAAACATGTCCTTTATTTACAAAACAAAACAAAACAAAACAAAAACCACACAATAAACTGCCCTAGGGCTTAAACTGGGTGGCACAGCTGCAGCGTATGGGGACAATAAATGTCTGCTCGCTCTAAGTACCACAACTCCCCACTTCCCACTCCAACTCTGGCAGCAGCAACAGCAGTGACAGAAGTAATACCCACAATACTAACACGGGGGTCGATATGTGTCAGGCAGTCTGCTAAACGTTTTACATTCTAGTCAGTGAAATGTAAAAATAACCCAGTAGCACCCCCACTTTACAGATAAGGAAGAATGAAGTCATTGTCCCGGGGCCCCTCAGCAGAACCAGCGCTCATGCCCAGCCGTGGGTCCCAGGCTTCAGCAACGTAAGGTCTCTAGCCAAGTGCAGGACCATGCCCGTGGCCACTGAGTCACCCACACCCGGGAAGCCTCCATCCTCACTCGAAGCTAACGCTGCACATTTCCAATACAAGCCACATGTAGTTTTTGCTCGTTGCTTTAACTGCCTGCTTAGGAACTTTTGCTAGCAATGCCCTCCCACCCACCGTCTGCAGAAGTACCAAGTCCACCCAAGTCTTCCAGGTTGTGGGGCCTTTCCCTGGGAGCCCCCCACCTTCTGGTTTCCTTTCCAGCCCCTTCCCCACCTGCACCCCAGGCCTCGGGAATGCTGCAGGGTCTTCCCAGCACACGCTGAGCTCTCATGGCCAGGTGCCCTGTGTGTACTGCTCCCTCTGCCCCAGGCCCGCCCCACCTCTGTCTTGTGACCTCCTCATCCTTCAAATGCCTTCACCTGTCGAAGCCTCCCTGGCAATCCAGATGGGCAGTTACTTGTTTCCCTTCCTGTGCTCACACCAGGACAGCGTAATTGGCAGCTTATGATTCATCTATTCGCTTCTTATATATTCTGCCTACCAGGTTCTTACACTTGGTCGATGTTTAGTAAAAGTTTGTTAGGCATAAGTAATCGAATTAAAGAATAACTGGCTGCTTGCTCCCTCCCACCTCTGCCGAGTTTGGATCTGGAACCTGGAATCAGGTGACCACCGTGACAGGCCTGGACATAGACTCTGGGAACACATCGGCGCAGGTCTGTATCTCACCAACGGTGAGAGATGTCAACACCATTCACCTCCCTTTAAACCTACAGTCAGGCAGTTCCTGTGAGCCACGTAACGTCAGCTCAGCGCAGGCGGGAAGGAGGGCGCCCGAGAGCCAGAGCTGTGGGTGCCTCGGGGAACAAGAGAGAAACTCAGCGCAGCCCAGCGGGGCAGAGCGCCGCTTACCTCCTTCCTGGGAATTCATGATGTTGAGGGCGAACAGCATGGCGTTGGAGAATGTGGTCGCCTCCTCCTTACTGGCGAAGTTCAAGCCATAGACCTGGCGGGCGTCTCGCCACTGGTGGAAGGTTGGTGTCGCCTGATTGTACTTCAGCCCTTTCACGATTGAATAATTGATCACAACCTGGAAGAAAAAGAGCGACAAATACATGTAAATAAATAAAAGGTAAGTGAGCTGGAGGGAGCGGCTATGGGGCAAGGATAGTGTGTCCCCAGGGGCTACCAGAGGACAGGAAGGTTGGAGGGGGTCATAAGAAGGGGAGAGCATGCCCAGGCAGCTTTCCCACAGGATCCCTGGTCATGTCCGTTAACTGGAATGCTGTGCAGTCACAGCCTCCAGAGGAGAGCCCTGAGCTGGGAGTCAGGTTCCTTGGGCCCTCCCAGCTGTGTCGCCCACAGTGGTCACTGCACCTCTCTGGGGCTCAGTTTCTCCAGTTATAAAAGGGGGATGATAATCCTGGCTGTACTGCACTAATGGATTACTGCAGAGGTCCCATTGTGATGCATAGCTTATTTAGACTTATAGACAGGGAGATCTGAAGGGCAAGAGTCTTTTCAAATTCCTACTTATGCCTTCCAGGGCCCTCTGCATAAAGTCTAGTACTTGGACTGCGTTAATAAATGGGTACCGTAGTTAAAAGGATCACTTGGAAAGTTAAAATGTGCCAACCAATGTAGAGCATTATTAATATCTTTATTATTAATCAAGAAATATCAACGGACTGCCAGCTCAATGCCAGGTCCACCAGGGAAAGCTAGAGAAGAGCAGCTAGAACCAGACATTCAGGTGCTCACAAGCAGGCAGGGGATTCCACACCAGGCCCGCCTGACCTCTAACCTTTCTCCTTCAGACACGTAACAAATTATTTAGCTTGAGGGGCTCACAAAGGGGTGGGAGGCCTGGAGCCATTATTCTGCATCCCTGATCCCTCTGCTTAGGTGACCGAGTTTCTGACCATTACCACCATGAGTTACTTTCACCTGTTCTTGAACTATATAGACGTGGATTCTTATTTCTTTCACTCAACATAATGTCTATGAGATTCATCCATGTTATTACATTTACAAGTATTTAATTCTTATTTATTGCTACATAATATTTCACCTTATCTTTTAGAAAGAGGAAGAGAAACATCAATTAGTAACATTTCAACTTTAAAAAAAAATCCTCACACAAGGATATGTTTTTCATTGATGCTAGAGAGAGAGGAAGGGGGGGAGAGGGAGAGAGAGAGAGAGAGAGAGGGAGAGAAAGAGAGAAACATTGATGTGGGAGAGCAACATCAATAGGTTGCCTCACATACACACCCCAATGGTGGTAGAATCCACAACCTGGATATATTTCCTGACTGGGAATCAACCATGTGACCCTTTGGTGCTCAGGAGCTCTAACCACTGAGCACAGCAGCCAGGGCATATTTCATCTTTTGATATACCATAAATAACTAATCCATTGTCCTGTTCATAGACATTTGTGCAGTTTCTAGCTGTTGGTTATTAATAAAACTATGAGTATTTTCAGACATGTCTTTTAGTGGATGCAGGTGTGTACTGAGTTGATACCATATGTCTAACTATTTTTCCGAAGGCTCTATCAATTTATGCTTCCCAAAAACTCTTCTCACATCAGCATCATGGCGGAGTGAGAAGAACCCTTTGTATCTCCCCTTAAATTTCCATGTCAGATATCTATAATCCAACAAAGATTCCTCTGCTCAGCACAAAAACATGCCTGAGAGATCCACACATCAGTACACCTGAGGGTGGACGTACTGGAACCTGCAAGGGATTCGTGACAGAAGGAAGGGCAGGGACAGTGACTGCAGGTGTAGTTCAGCAGCTGCCAAGGCCCCAGCTAACACAGTAGCAGTGGAGGAGTCAGGGGATGGCCCCCACACTATGGCCCAGAGGAAGGTAATCAGGGCAGAAGCAGGGTTGGTGCCCATGAAGCCAGCTCTCTCTCCCTCTTCTCCCGCCACTGCTGGGGAACACAGTAGCAGCAGCAGTGGTTATGGAGATGCCTCTAACAGCACAGTGGTGCCTGGGGCTACAAGGCCACTAGTACAGGAGTCAGTGCTGCTGCTCCAGAACCTGGCTCCCCCATACCTGCCACAGTGGTAGTGCCCTGAGACTGAGGCAACCTGGACGCAGTGGGGTCACCCAGGAGTCAATTTGCACAACACTAACACCCCCTGTGGCAACCCAGGAGGTGCAAGTAGTGCTGGTAAGAGAAAACAAAACTTGCTCTACAGCACCATCTACTGGGAAACAAAAGGAAGTTCTCTAATTATCAATCTGCTGAATTAAGATCAAACGGTATCTGAACAAGAAGAGTCTGTCCCAAGTGTACAGAAAATGACAAGTCTCCAGAAACCAACCTCAAAGTCATGGAAGACTGAGATGTAAATGACAGAGAATTCAAGACGCAGTAATGAAGAAACTCAACGAGATACAAGAAAACTCAGAAAGGCAGTTCAATGAACTCAGGAATGAAATTAATGAAAGGAGTACTTTACCAAAGAGATTGAAACTATAAAAAAAACAACAACCCAAACAGAAATTCTGGAACTGAAGAACTCAATAAATGAGATGAAGACAGAAATCTGGAAATGATTCAGGTGGAATAAGAGAGAAAACTAAGAGTTAAAAAAGTGAAAGAACTCTATAAGAATGATCTGACTCCATTAGAAAAATGGGTACCCCAGAAGGACAGAACAGAGAGCTTATTCAAAGAAATAATTGATGAGAACTTCCCAAACCTATGTAAGGAATTGGGTATTTGAGTATGAGATGCTAATAGCTAATTATCTCAACACAAAAACTCCTTCTCTAAGACACATTATAAATTGTCAAAAGTTAATGGTAAAGAAAGAATTCTCAAGGCAGCCAGGGAAAAAATGACAGCAACCTACAAAGGAAACCCCATTGGATTATTATCAGATTTCTCAGCAGAAATCCTGTAGGCCAGAAGAGAGTGGAGTGATATATTATAAACTAGAGGCCCGGTGCACGAATTCATGCACGGGTTGGGTCCGGCCTGCCCTCCCAAATCGCCCAATTGAGCTGGACCAGCCAGGGGAAGGGGCCTCGGGTGGTTGGCCGACTGGCCCTGCCCCTGGTTGAACTCCCAGTTGAGGGGACAATTTGCATATTAGCCTTTTATTATATAGGATACTGAAAGAGAGAAACCACCAACCAAGAGTACTATATCCAGCAGAGTTATTCTTTAGGTGTGAAGAAGAAATAAAGGCTTTCCCATATCAACAAAAGCTGAGGGAATTTACCACAAGATCTTCATTACAAAATATATATTGAAAGATGCTCTTCTACCTGAAGCAAAAACATAAATGTATACAAAACTTTGAGTAAGGTGACAGACAGAATCACGATATAAAGGTTAAAGGGAAAGTAAGCATTAAAAATAACAATAGTTGCCCTAACCGGTTTGGCTCAATGGATAGAGCGTCGGCCTGCGGACTCAAGGGTCCCAGGTTCGATTCTGGTCAAGGGCATGTACCTTGGCTGCAGGCATATACCCAGTAGGGAGTGTATAGGAGGCAGCTGATCGATGTTTCTCTCTCATCGATGTTTCTAACTCTCTATCCCTCTTCCTTCCTCTCTGTAAAAAATCAATAAAATATATTTAAAAAAAAAATAAAAAAAAAATAACAATAGTTAGTACAATATGGTGATAATTCTTGTATCATTATCCCCATGGAGTTATTGGGAGACTGAAATAATAGACATGAAAAGTGCTCTATAAGATATACTAGTAAGGAGATTAAACATGTAAGATATCCCTATTTGGTAAAATACCAGGAATCTGTATCCCTTAAAATGTCCAACCTTGTACTCCACACTGACTGGGAGACAGACCTGTGAAAATTAGTCTTTACTCTTGAGGTCCATAAAATCACTGTAAACCAGGTTTCCTGCCACTCTCACAATGCCTCGGCTTATTAAGAACCTCTTTTATGTTCCTACTAGAGGCCCAGTGCACGAATTTGTGCACCAGTGGGGTCCCTCGGCCTGGCCTGCAACATCCCTCGAGCGGTCCTGGATTGCGAGAGGGTGCAGGCCAGGCTGAGGGACCCCACTGGTGCACGATCGGGGCCGGGGAGGAACTTGGGAGGTTGGCCAGCCAGGGAGGGACCGCGGGAGGGCTCCAGGGCGTGTCCAGCCCATCTCGCTCAGTCCCGATGGGCCGGACTCCAGCAGCAAGCTAACCTACTGGTCAGGGCGTCTGCTCCCTGGTGGTTAGTGCATGTCATAGTGACTGGTCGACTATCTGCCCCCTGGTGGTCAGTGCATGTCATAGTGACTGGTTGACTGTCTGCCTCCTGGTGGTCAGTGCACATCATAGAAAGCGGTTGACGGCCTTAGCATATCATTAGCATATTGCACTTTGATTGGTTGTATGGCCGACCAGTTGACCGGACACTTAGCATATTAGGCTTTTATTATATAGGACTACAGGCCCAATGCATGAAATTTGTGCAAGGGGCTTGGCCCCTGCTTCCACGGAGGCTGCCTCTGCCTCAGCCCCTGCCCACCTCGGCAGCCAGGGGCCTCTGCCTTGGCCCCGCTGCTGTGGCTTTGTCCAGAAGGATGTCTGGTCTAATTAGCATATTACGCTTTTATTATTATAGATTGCATGTTTATGAACATGCAATTCCAAGCACAGGGCTGTGCTGGTAACTTCTCTGCCAGACTCTAGGTCTCCAGGTTAGAGTCACCACAGCCTCTCTGCATGCACCCAGGAGTCGCTGAGGGCTGCTGCCAGAGTCTCCCGCACGGGAAGTCCTCCTCCCAAAAGAGCCCCACCATGTGGTTTCCTCTGCAGGAGGCAGCGAGGTGTGGAGCCTCCTGAGAACAAGGTGCACATTAGTTTCCAGGAATCCTGTTCTCCAGGCCCGTGCCCCCTCCAGCACACCTTCCATCTACGCAGAGTACCCTGAAGGCAACCAAGAGGCATGAAGGGAGTGGAAAACTGGTCATAATGAAAGCAATCCCTTAGGGACACCCACTATGATTCGGAAACTGCACTGGGTAATGGGCCTTATGTCAAAGGCGAGTACCAGAGTGGTATGTCCACGTCATCCCCCACCCACAGGTATGTTATGAAAATGGGTAAGATATTTTGGCTGCCACCATAATGGGGACTCAGGATGCTATATATCCTTCAATGTACGGTGCGGTGTACCTCTAAGAGGCAGAGCTAGAACCGATGACCTGGAAGAACAGGGAAGCAGCTTCCAGGAGGTTTTGAGAGAAACCTTCCTATCAGTAAGCTTGTCAATGAGGGAAAGGGATGCCTCTGAAGGTATCGAGTTCCAGGTTAGAGAGACTACCTTTAGGCAGGAGTCCTGAAGTGGGGATGTCCCTTTTAGCCACAAGAATCTGAAACTTAACAGGGTTATTTTGGCCAAAGCAGAAACACAGTCAACTGGCAGCCACTAAAAATAGTCTTCAGTTTCTGTTCTCTTTTCTTTTTTTTAAAATCTTCACCCAATAATATTTTTCCCATTGATTTTTAGAGAGAGAGGTAAGAAGGAGTGGGGGCAGGAGGGGGAGAGAGAGAGAGAGGGAGAGAGAGAGAATGAGAGGGAGAGAATGAGATACATTGATTGGTTGTTTCCCACATGTGCCCGGACTGGGCTGGGGATTGAACCTGCAACCCAGGTCTGTGCCCTTGACCAGGAATCGAACGTGTGACCTTTCCGTGTATAGGCTGACACTCTAACCACTAAGGCACACCAGCCAGAGCTGTCCTCTTTGTTCTAATTGCTAACGTGCTGATTCTTGCAGATAGCAGCTAATCTGCTGCTCAACTTAGCCAAGGCCTGACCAACAGGATGCCAGAGATGCTATTTAGGTCGAGTTTTTCACAAATGCTGAAACCACAGGTCTGGTGATTTCACTGCTAAATGTGTCCCTGTCAATCTCTAAGAGAGGGGCGAGCACTGAAGCACTAACCAGAGTCCCTGTGGTTAGGCCACACAAGCCCTTTCTCCACGTCTCTATTCTGGTCCCTGTCACATTAGACTGATCCGTCTTAGTTATGTGTGCACGACTGTTCCTGACATAGGTGGACTTACCCTCTATTTGTGGAGTTACTTACCAGGTTCACTCACAAACTACCTTATCCGATTTGTCCGGGATGTACTATTAGGGAGAGAAATGATCCCAGATTCTTCAAATCAACTTGCTGTTCCTTCCTAAGACTTAGGGCAAGCATGTCAAACTCGTGGCCTGTGGGCCGCATGTGGCCCACAATGAATATTTTTTATTTTTTTTCCACAACGAATATTTTTGTGGCCCAGCCAATATAACGGTATGTAAGAAACATTTTAATAAAAATTTCATAACTTAATTTTTACAATATCTTGTTATACATAATTATTAATAACGAACTATAATGTTCACTAATGACTGATTACTATAATCATGTTGCATTCATTTCCCTTACGCGCAGGCGCACCATTTCTCTCCACTAATACTAGCAGCGAATATTTTAGCAGCGATTGCCAAGTCATTAGTCTTGTACTGACTTGTTTGGTGTGCGCAACAGGAAATATTTCGCTTTCAGAGAACAAGAAAAATAGGTTTATTTGCATTATGCTTATTAACCTGTGCAGTTATTCAGTGCCTAGTAAGTTAATGTTAAAAAAATATTAATTTTTATTAAAATGTTCTATTATTTTATGTTAACGATTACTCATTTATTTCAGCCCTTTGTATTTAACATGTCTCTATCGAAATAAACCTACGTTTCTATGAAAATTGAAGCTTATTTTTTTTTTGCGGCCCACATAAGGTTAAACCTTATTTATTTGGCCCGTGTTAGCCTTTGAGTTTCACATGTTGACTTAGAGGGTTGATGAACAAAAATTTTTATTGTCATATTACTCATAGATATGTAGGCATAGAATAAAACTAACATATTTGTACAATATATTTTTCAAAGCTGTTTCACATTTGTTATTTTATTCTAATGTTACATTAACACAGAATTATGCGGGATGTGGGTTACTGTCTCTATGAGACAGATGTGAAAAATGGTGTTCAGAAAATAGTTTGCTCAAGGTTTCATAGGAGAATGTGGGGTCAGAATCTGAACCCAGATCTTCTGATTCCAAACCTGACCTTGTTTTTTGGACCTCTTTCACTATACTGTGTGTACGTGCGTGTTTATGCGTGCACGTGTGGGTGTGCATGCGCGGCACAGGCTGGGGTGTCACCAGGGGCTCCGGCACTCACCTGCTGATCCTGCAGCTTCACTCCGACGACTCTGAAGGTGCTGCTGGCAGTGTTGTGGTAGATGTTGATCCGGCTGAAACCCTGCTGGCCGGGTTTGATGGGTACCCATTTCTTACTGGTGTCATCGTAGACCATCACGGAAGCCCGGGCTTGGCAGATACTCTGTTCACTGCAGAGCAAGAGAAAACTTCAGTGTCAGGGGCAGCCACGAGGGATGGAAGCTGGCTTTGCCCTTTTCTGAGCCAGAGGCCACCTGCTATTGCCGCAGAGAAACCTCCTAACTGCTAGAGCTCCCCGCAGTCTGTGGGAGGGCTGCTCCGGGAGGTGGAGAGTCATTCTCCAGAGACCCCGGGGCTGGAGAGGAGTGTGCTGTGCCAACACTCTCAATAGCGCGGAAAAGACGCCCAGCTTTCCTTTTAGGGGAAAAGGCGCTTGAATGTGGAAGGAATGACAATTGGCCAACTGTCTCCAGTCCTCCAGGCACTGTGTAAAATAAGGCAACGCTGGGCTTCACAGCCTGTGAGGTAGCCACAATCACCCCACTTTGTAGATGAAACAATAGAGGCTTAGAGACTTGGGAAAACTGATACCAATTCACACAGGAGTTCAGTGATTACATTTGGGATTTCCCATCAGTTCTGTCTGACTGTGGAGCACACAACAAAGACCATCTTCTTCGCAACAGCCAAAGAAACGCTCTGTTTGTGATATTGTGACAGGGCACCATCACACAAGCTCCGTAGACAACAGAACACGAGGCGACCTTCTCCGAACAGAGCGAGAGCAATCCAAATAAACACCTGGCTGCACCTGCTTTGCTGTACACATTTAGTAATAAGCAACGTCATCTGTTCAGAATACGACAGGAAACCAGGGAAGAAGCAAAAGAAACCCCTGGGAGAGGAAACAGCCGTCGCTGAAACCAGGTACTCCTGCCACGAACGCCAAGGAAGGCTGCTGCCTTTGCACACCGGCCTCCTCATCCTGAGCAGCTACTTTCTTGGTCTTCAGCGCATCAGAACCCCAGGTTAGAAAGGTAAGGCCCGGTTTTAAAGGCAGGCGCACCGACACCAGTGAGGCGTGGCCGCTATCAGAGAGGGAGGCCATATGAACACAACTGCGTTAGAATTAGAAACAGAAGTTAAAGCCCAACAATTTGAGCCCAAATAATTTATTTATTTTTTATTTTTAAAAATATATCTTTATTGATTTCAGAGAGGAAGGGAGAGGGAAAGAGAGATAGAAACATCAATGATGAGAGAATCATTGGCTGCCTCCTGCACGTCCCCTACTGGGGATCAAGCCCACAACCTAGGCATATGCCCTTGACCAGAATCGAACCTGGGACCCTTCAGTCCGCAGGCTGACGCTCTATCCACTGAGCCAAACCAGCTAGGGCGAGCCCAAATAATTTAGTAGAAGCAAAAGTGTGTGCACTAATGGACGGTCATCAAAATGAGCCCAAGCTGTCGGGAAAAGTGACATAATGGTCACCTTACCATATTTCTTGGAGGGAAATAAAATACTTGAAAAAGGTCCCACTCCCAGCCCCAGTGGTTACTGGATGACGAATCAGTGGCTTTTAGGAGATCGGCCCTGGGTGACTTGGAAACCCCCACCTGGCCAACGTAGTGGGTGCCTAAGTGTCCCCGAGGGCTGAGCTTCCTCAGGACCTGCTCAGCTCCCTGCTGACGTGGATGGCGGAGGATCAGTGTACAGATCATCATCATCATCATCATCATCATCATCATCATCATCACAGTGGGTCAGTGGACAGCGCAGACAAGCCTTCCCACGTCCCCTCACTTCCTTTCCCATGAGTCCCTTGCACATTTCACGGGTCCAGCCAGCGGCATCACGTGCCAGTGCTAGGTGTCGAATCCCCTAGGAAAGCCTACGCTGGGCCTCAAACTTGCTGTCGATCCCCAGCTCTGCTCTGGGGTTTCGGGGTCCAGGGTACCTTGATGTCAGCTGTCACCTCACGCTGGGGGTTCTGTCCGAGAACAGAAGTGAGTCGCAAGGGCGTTTTTGTGCAATTGTGCCGCATCTTTCCCCCATAGCTCACCATTCATTTAACAAACATTTAAGGGGAAGTTGGTGATGAGCAAAATAGGCATGGTCTTCCCAGAAGAGAGCCATGTGATACCCTCAGGGAGAGAGAAACCAGCGCTGTGCTCTGCCTTCTGGCACCTGAAACCTCACTCGATTGTATTTTTCTATTGATTTTTAAAGAGAATGGAAGAGAGGGGGAGAGACAGAGAGAGAAACATTGATGTGAGAGAGACACATCAATTGGTTGATTGTTGCCTTCAGTATGCACTCCGAGTCGGGGATTGAGCCTGCAACCAAGGTACCTGCCTCTGACTGGAACAGAACCCATGACCCCTTCAGTCCGAGGGCTGATGCTCTATCCACTGAGCCAAACCAGCTAGAGCCCACGTGTCTTTTAAAAAAGAGAATATGCTTAGGCAGAGGTGCCCTCCCCCTGGCTAGCCCTTTGGGCCTTGTCTTCATGAAGCCTGGTAGAAATTACACTGTACACAGAAACAGATAGACCTCGGATTCAATCAGTTTCCTTCCAATATAAACTGACCAGAATCAAGTTAGGGGCTAAGCTGTGTCACTGCTGTGCTCAGCCGCCCTGGACTGCCTCAGGGGCTGGGAGATCCGGAGGTGCAGCCTGGTGTCAGTGAACAAAACAAGGATGTTACTGAGCCTGAGGGATGTGGGCTGCAACCCCCGCTCCACCGCTTGCTGGCACGTGACCACAGAGGCCCTGCGGTGCTGTAGAGCTGAGTGTGACAGCCACTGTCCTCACAGGGCAGGTGCCGGGTGGCAGGGCAGCGCTCTCCAGAGCCCCTGGGTGGCAGCCATGGAAGTGCCTTTCAGAGCTCCAGGAGAGCCTGTGATGGGGCAGAGCTGACCAGTGGTCCCAGTGGCCACCTCTCTGGATGCCACCATGTCGCACAGAGGCCATGCTTCTCCAGGCTGCTCCGTCAGTGCCCGACACAGGCCTCCTCGATGGGGAAACCCTGCTCGGCCTCCTCAGCAGCCTGTGCGCTGTGGTCTGAGAGGCTCCTACTCAGTCCGTCCTTCCTGCTCTCTCGCCGGCACAGATGTCGGACCTGCACCCTGGCCTGAAGCCCTCTGCCTGCTCCTGCTCCCTCCATTCTGCACTGATGTCCCCAGGGCCTTGGCCTCTGCTTCTTGGAAGATCCAAAGCGACACACCTGCTATAGTGTAGGTTCCCCGAGGGCAGGGGCAGGCCCGCCTCATTCTCTGCTGTGCCCCTGGAACCTGGCATAGACCAGGTGCCTCATAAATGCTTAGGGTAGACTCTCAGGGCTGAACAGAATCTCAGGGCTGAGAGTAGGAGCCTCTCAGACCACAGAGAGTGGATGTCCCAATCCACTCTCATGTCCAAAATGACATGCCTTCTAAGTGGCCCTAAGTGGACGCCGAGCCTGTGAATGAAAACCACCAGCGTGGGAAACCTGCCCCCCAAAGCAGCCCACCCTGCTGAGGAGTGGTCTCGGCTGGGAGGCATCCCTGCTCTTCTGGGTCAGTCCACGCCCTGCCCTCCAGAGTCACAAAGGTGGACAGCGCATGACAGCCCAGTGGACAACTGAAGGGACATCTTGGTTCTTCCATCCCTTATTCCCAGGACATTGCCCCCTTGCCACCTGTCACTCTCCTCTAGTGAGTCCTGACTTGTCACATTTTCTCTGAGTGTCTGGGTCCTACGATTGGATATGACCATGGCATCTTAGTCTGACAAACACAGATGCCAGTGAGTCAAAAACGTAGTGACGCAGAGCCGAGTGTGACAGCCACTGTCCTCAGAGCTCACGGCCACTCAGGGAAGCGGACAGATGATTACACCTTCCAGGGCCTGGAGGGTGGGGAGCCGGGGAACCTCACTGCAGGCAATGCTGTGAGTGCCCCCAGATGGAGAGCTTTCAGCCCAGCGAATCAGGAAGGGGATGGGGGGTGGTGGGGAGAGCAGAGGCAGGGAGGCAGGGCCAGGGGTGCTTGGACAGAGATATAAAGAAAGTACCCACTGCTGTGCTTGCTCCTAGTAGGTGCTCAAACACCAATAGTGATTTTTCTTATTGTAATTATCACCATGGGTTCCTTTTCCTGCTGCTGTTTAACACTAGGTTCAAACTGAACTTGTGGTTAACCAAAAAGCCTGCTGTGGCCCCGCCTCCGTGTGAACAGTGTTTGTCTATCTGCTTATTTTATTCCCACTGACAAAACCTAAGTGCCAGGAAAGACCCACTCACTTACTCTGCTTCAGGGTTGTCTTGCTTACCATCCGTTTGGGGTTTTGTTTTAATAAAATCCTCACTGTACCCAAAGGCTTCAGAAACTCCATCTGTCTACATCACGTATCATTTGAGGAAAGTACCTTTGACAGACAAGTATTTACATCACGTATCATTTGAGGAAAGTACCTTTGACAGACAAGTATTTTCTTTTTAAGTATATTATTTTTGAATGACTGCACTGTTGTTATTTTTTTTAACACGAACACACAAATATCCTTTACTAAGTTTAGAAAGTCTGTCCCTACGTCCTCCCCATGGGCCCCATACACTTTGTGCCTGTGTAGATGCGGCCTCAGCGCTCCCCATCCTGTCTGGCTCTGAGGAACCATGTGGGGCTGGAGAAAAGCTACAGCCGATACTCACAGGGCTACTTTTATGTGATCAAACAACCAGCTGAGAAGTGGGAATAATTAGTGAAAATGCAGTTGGGTTTGAGCTACCAGATCGATGGACCCCCTCTCCCCTCCCATCCCCCCGGGACCTAACAGCTGCTCCGAGCAGTGTCACTCGCTCAGTCTAACCCTTGGGAAAGCGCAGGTTCCTGCCCCACCACCCCACTCCCCTACTGACCAGGAATGAGTTTCTGAATTTGTCCCAGGCCGGTAGCCGCCAGCCCAGCCACACTCTGCCTGTGTACAGGCACCTGGACTCCCTCCCCACCTGTGAATACCTGTCAGGGCTTTCCCAGGCATTCCCTACGAGAACCTGAAGAACAGTGTAAGTTCACAAGCCGGGCAGAAGGGTGTAAAGCCAAAAAGGCGACAGGAACAGGGTTGATCATAAGAGGCTTGCGGGTGGAGAGCATACGCCCAGGGTTGAGTTGGAAGAAGTCCAGCAC